ATATCTATTATAAATATATAAAATATAAAGTAGTTGGAAAAACCACAACTACCCTTCTGACTCTAAGTTTTAATTTTTCTGGTTCGAGAGTTAAAAATGTCTTACTACACCTTTGTTTCAATTATATTTATTTGATATTTATTGCAGCTCATGTGTCATGCTGGAAGAACATTTCATATACTCAAGAAGCTAGACAAATACTTTTCACGCTAATTTAAAATTTTAAATACTTCAGAGCAATTCAATGGTCAAATGGTCACCTTGATAAATGAAAAAACATTTCATGTGATACATTATATATCTCTTGGCTCAATGCATACTTCCACTTTATTTCTCTCACTATCGAAACTGATTCAGATTCGACCATGTATCTTTAATGTGTCGTCGTCACCAACATAGAAGAGTACGAAGATTTGGAGGAACCCATTTTCGCCATTGACGTTGAATTTTCGTGACACCACCCCCTCTACTTCAGATATGCTGCCAGTGCTCGTCGGTTGTGTCAAAAGGTGCAAACTTTCTTTCATTTTTTCCTCCCTCCAAAAACTCTAGCAACTCCACAACTTTCTTTTCTATTATGGGTTTCTATAGTCACTTCATCAGTGTCTTTTACAGAAAGAACAAGAAGAATAAGCTTTAATGAATTCTACTGATATGATTTTTCTTTTTTACTCTCTCTCTCTCTTTTCATGGAGGTAACTCATTATTTTCCCTATCTTTTCTACGTGTTCCTTTATGTGATTTTCAATACATATGTTTCAATCTATGTTGTAATTAGTAATGGTTATAGTTTCATAGTTTTTGATATTAATGTTATTGTTATGTTGATTTTGTATTTTTCATTATTTTCATTGAATATGGCATTAGTTGAGTTCATTAGTATTTGATAAACTTTTGCTAAGAAGAAAATGGTACAAGAACATGATGACAATGTTGAAACAGAATGACATGGACTGTTAAATAATATTTTATTTTATTTTCTTGGCTAAAACAAAGGGTTTTTGCAATAAATATAGTTTATTTATTAAGTTGTATATAATCTTTGATCTGTCCTGCCAGTTTTTAAGTCAGATTTTGACACAGCCGACAAACACCGACAACAACTAAAATGGATGTTGAGAGTAGTCTTCACAAGCAAGCTGCTGAAGTCATTAATGGAATACATGAATTGTGGGAGGTTGTTGAATACGTATTATTCAACACTTCAAATGGAATTTGAGTTGTGGTCTTATTCCAGAATAATCAAGTATTATTGTAGTCAATTTCGATCAGATTTTGTTATGGTTCCGTATGTTCATTAATCATGATTTTTTGTTCATACACATACATTTGAAAATTGTAGTTGACGACATTCACAATCACAGTTAATTGTGTTTGGTAACTGACTAATGAATTGTGACACCTTATATTCGTTAACCATTCATCGGAAGGAATCAACCACATTCAAATTACCAACTATGACTGCAGATTAGAGGTTTTGTTTTGGTTTTGCTTCCGTAAAAAAATTTCTCTTGAAAACTTTATTCTTGCTGTTATGATATTTGTTCCTCTCTGTATTATAAAGTTAGAGTTAATCTTCCTATTGCGACCAAAACTAAAGCAATACTAATGGACAATTTTGTTTGTTTGTTGCAGGAGATTTTTGAGCATTGTTACGTGACAATATGCATAAAACTAATATATTAAAAAGGAAAGATTGGAACAAAACACATATCAATGACGATGACACGCTGTTTTTGCAGGCTAATCCCATCATTGAGAGAAATATCCTTACTAATAAATGTTTGCATCATGTGTCATTGAATTTTAATTTCAATACATAACTGCCATGTAGACGAAACATGTTTGTGTTCAACTTTTTTTGCAATCATATGCCATCATTGTAACTTTTTTTGCAATCCTAGCAGCTATAAATTATAGGTTCTTCCAGCCGTCAACAAAGCTGACACGACTAAACCTTCGTCTACTGAAAGCAACATAAGAGGTCTTGCATGTTCACCCTTAACAATCCATCGGGCCATAAACTCCAAACCATAATAGGCTAATTTGCTATTATCCTCTTGAATTGCAACTCCAGCTATAAAAATACACAATACACAAGTTCCAAGAGGGGCAAAGGGCTTTGTTTCAGCTATAAAAATACACAAATACACAGTAAGATAATATAAATACAGTTAACTACATGAATTTTTTTATTGCCTTGGTTTTTTCTGCATCTTCTTGCTTACCGTCAGATGATTAAACATGAATGAAATCTTTGTTTCCATGGTAGGCATGTATGTGTTCTATTCTTACTAAACAAAAGTGAAATGCTTAGATTTTTTTTAAAGATTATTGTTTTTAAGAATTGAAAATGTTATATTTGCAATACGTGTTTTTTTTTTTCCAGAGAATGGCTGTGAAGTGTTGAAGACCTGATGACATAAGTTATTATAATTAGTATGCAGTTAAAATATATCGAGTAATGATATATTTCGTAGAACAATATTTGACATTGATATTTGATTTGTGTTTCATGAGTTTCATTAAAAACCTGTTGTGTTTAATAGCAGCGTGTGTATATATATATATATATATATATATATATATATATATATATATATATATATATATATATATATATATATATATATATATACACGCTGCTATTAAACACAACAGGTTTTTAATGAAACTCATGAAACACAATAAATATATATATATATATATATATATATATATATATATATATATATATATATATATATATATATATATATATATATATATATATATATATATATATATATATATATATATATATATATATAGGTTAACCATGAAAAAGTTCAATAATTCCCATTTTATTCTGCAACTATAGTAACAAATGTAAAATAAAACTTTAATTCATATGCATTTGTAGATAATGATGTTACATAGAAGTACATAATTTAGTCTTGAAATCTTACATAGATTTGCATAATAACTTAATAGCTACAATAGTTAAAAGAAGTATGTAAATGATGAAAGTAAGTAGACATGTAGAAAATTGAAAACCTACATAATTGGATAAGTAAATTGTTATTAGTAAAATAGTGAGTAAAAAAATTATAAGATAACTAAATAATTAAGGTAAGTGTAATATACCTAAATGTTGGAAAACAAGTATGACTTAAAAGTGGATAAAGTTTAAGAGAAGAATATAAATTAGTCTATATTTGTAATTCTTGAATATTTATGATTTGTAATATAAATTTCAAAATTGATAAATGAGATATTTGGACGTGTAATATAAACCGAAATAAGTTATTGGTATTTTTATAAACGAGAAAAGTTTATTATTGATACAATTTTATTTTATAAATGAGAATAAATTATAAATATTTTTATAAACGGAAAAAGTCTATTGTAGAATCTTTTTAACTAAATTTGTTTAACATTAAAGATTTAATACTCTCTTGGTCAAGTATTTTAATTTAAGAGTTTTTTTTTTAATTTCTCAATTTAACAATTATAAATTGATCTTTGTAATGAAGGTTCTTGTATGCATAGATCTACATGTAAATATGAACGTATCTATGAGATATCAGTTGTAAACTATTTATTTTAATGTCCATCTTTTTAAATATTTCTTTTGATGTTGTTTTATATTAATGAGTGAAGAATTCATTTTTGACTAAATTGTAGAATCTTTTTAACAAAATTCGATTAAAATTAAAGACTTAACACTCTCTTGATCAAGTATATTAATCTAAGAGTTTTTTTTTAATTTTTCAATTTAATAGTTATGGATTATTCATCGTAATAAAGGTTTTTACTGACATACATCTACGGATAGATGTGAACGTATCTATGAGATATCAATTACAAATTATTTATTTTAATGCCCATCTTTTAAATTATTCTTTTGTTGTTGTTTTATATTGATTCACTATAAAAATTCAATTTTTACTAAATTGTATAATCTTTTTAACAAAATTCGATTAACATTAAAGACTTAACACTCTCTTAGTCAAATACATTCATCTAAGAGTTATTTTTATTTCTCATTTTATTTCTCAATTTAATAGTTGTAGATTGTTCATCGTAATGAAGGTCTTTACTCCTTGCAGACATAATACATTCACAGATAGATGTGAATGTATCTATGAGATATCAACGGTAGACGGTTCATTTTAATGTTCATCTTTTAAATATTTTTGTTGTTGTTGTTTTATATTAATTCACTATATAATTCATTTTTGACTAAATTGTAGAATCTTTTCAACAAAATTCTATTAACATTAAAGACTTAATAGTTTATTGGTCAAATATATTAATCTAAGATTTCTTTTTTATTTCTCAATTTAAAAGCAGTAGATTGTTCATCGTAATAAATCTCTTTATAGACATAGAGTCACAGGTAAATATGAACGTAACGTGCATATTTTAATTTTTTTTTTATTTTTATTTTATATAATTGTAGTTAGAGACTCTAGTGTAAGATTTATTATAAGTACGTATAGATGATTATAAGTTATAATTATGTAAATATTAACTAACTAAATAAACAAAGACAAAATTTATAAAAAATGCTTAAGAATTTCTTACTAGTTTGATATTATATGTAGTATCTCAACATATCTAACTTGAATTATATTTTATATATATCTAACATATCAACAAGATAACCCGTGCTACCGCACATTATATATATATATATATATATATATATATATATATATATATATATATATATATATATATATATATATATATATATATATATATATATATATATATATATATATATATATATATATATATATATATATATATATATATATATATATATATATATATATATCCACTTTGTTCTTGCAGTTACAGCTTTATTACCCAATCTTCAAAAAGCCCTAATCAGTAAATTCTTCCTTCTGCGACACTGATTGGGGAATCGAAGTCGTCATTCGCTCTTTCCACGATCCACAAATTGTGCCAGCGAACCCTAATTTCTCAATTCGCTCTTTCTTCAATCCACTATGGTCAGTTTTATCCCACTTCTTCAATTTCTACACCTTCACCTTTACTCACTCATCACTCTATCAGGCTTTCTCTGTTATCACCATTGTTCTTGTGTTTAACAATTTCCGTTTTGATTTATTTATTTATTTTTGTTAATTTTCTCTCAGCAAAGTAATTTCATGTTTTGGTGTGATTGTGTTAGTTTTGTGAGAGGATATTGGGAGAAAAATGGATAATTTACTGTTTTTTGTTGTTGCTATTTTGTCTTGTGTTTGGCAATAGTCAAATCGAGGCGGAAGGGATCGGGATCGGTCTAGAAGGGACTATCCTTCAAGATATGAAGACAATAAAGGGAATGGTAGTTCAGGTCGCGGTGGTGGCAGCAGCGGCAATAATGGCAATCCTCCTTCCAGACACCTTTGGGTAGGGAATCTATCCCACAACATTGTAGAAGATGAACTTACTCATCCTTTCATACGATTTGGACCGTTGGAAAAAGTTGCGTTTCAGTCTGGTAGAAGCTATGCTTTCATCAATTTTGAAGTGGATGAAGATGCCATTGATGCCATGAGATCGCTGCAGGGTTTTCCTCTCGCTGGCAACCCACTTAGAATCGAGTTTGCAAAGGCGGTCAGTGTTGCACATCTTATACTGTTTGTTACTTTTTCAGCTGATTTTATGTATATACCCCAGATGTTCGGATCTGTTAAATTCAATTCTATAAATCAAGGCCATGCTTTTATGTTAGATATAAATCTGCAAAATTTGCAACAACAGAATTTAGGAATACAATACGCTCGTCATTGTTTTCCATTTATGGCATTAGATAAAGTTATGCCATAACATGCACATCAAATTAAGTTACTCCACAACAGGCACATTACATTAAGTTACTCCTCAACATGAACATTACATTTACAGTCACATAAAGCACCACAGAAAGTTTTTTAGTTACCGTTTCACTCCAAACCATGTTATACATACTTCTTACTATCAGCAAATGGACACAAGCAGCATTACTCAGCTCTTCAATATTTTTGCAAGTTCTGAATTGGATTTCCACATTGCAAAATCTTGGGCCAAATGATTTTCCATGTCTTCTTGATATATTATCAAATTTGATGAAATTTTGCACTCAATGAGTTTGACATCATAGTTATAAAAAATTCTTAATAAATAGGTAGTGTACTGCTCCTGTTAACTCAAGTCACACCTCAAGCTAAACTTCAAGAGAAGGCTAGTGCTAAATCTGGAGCTTAAATAGTAGAATAAATATTGTACAGTAAAGAACACAAGTATGTTAGGGATTTAATTAGACCTTTTACCATAATTTTCTCTTCATTTTGACCTACATATATATATGCTATGAAATTGATAGCTTCAGTTATGCATGTTTTTTCTCCTTTTCAGAGTGGTGTATGGTTTAAGACTGTAAAATACAATAAAAATATTTTACCAAAAAAATAAATAAATGAATTCCCCAAAAGGCAAATTAAAGAGAGATTTCAACAGTAGGAAAATTAAAAAAACTTAAATTAAACTGAAGGTTCATCAGCTGTATAGTATGAGCAAACTTAAATTAACTGAAGGTTCAACAGCTGTGTAGTATCAGTAAAGTAACCCCTATCAGCACATCGTTCTACCAAGTAAGAATCAATGTTTTAAAGTGTAGAATAAATAAAGAAAAAAAAAGACAGTACGGCTCATGTTATCTGTTATTGGTTGTATTTTCATGCCAACAGTTTGACCTTGTTAGTTTCCTCTATACTTTAAAAGTTAATAACTGGAGAACTATGAAAAAACAGGATAATTTCTGAGACCAAGCATTCAATAACTCATTATATCTTGCCATAAATGTTACTCATTTCAATGGCCACCAGTCACCACCAGGATTAAGGCCTTGTGATTCAAATCAAATGGAAACCCTAATCTTAAAGAAATCTGTTACTGTGCCAAAGAAACCTTCATAGCCATATTGCAGATTCGTTTCAGGCATATGCACCAAAGTGTAGCCTAAATTGCTTAGTATTAAAAACAAAAGCCTAATAATAACTTGGCGGCGATTGTGAAATTCTGACATGTTATGCTTCAGATGATTGCTATTGCCTAAATTGCTCTGCTGCTTACATTGTATGTGTTGGTTTATGGGAATTGAATTCCACCTTCAATTTTCAATTCTTGCATATATTTTCAAGTTCTTGAGAGCAATGTTTTATAGGACTTAAGTTTGGTAATATTCAAGAAAGCTAATTATAGATGTAAATCATGTAAATGCATAATTTTGCTTGATAAGCAAAATAATTCATTAGTAATACATGACAAATGAGCTTTAGCATAAAATGATACAAAAATCAACAATCAGAGACTATGTTACATAAGATTATGAATATAAACCAGTCCCAAACCAAGCAAAACAGCACATAACAATCACATGGAAACAAATAGATCAAAATTTACATAGATCAAATAGTAACTTCACTCATTAAGTTTAGAAATAGAGAATCAAATTTTACTGAAAAATCCTCACATTTAATCAACATAACTGCTTACCTGGTCAAGAAGTCCAAAAATTCATCAAGGTCACTTGTTGGAAGCTACAGAAGGGTGGGGTAATATCAGTTCACGGTTCTTGTGTTCGAATCATAGTCAACATAGCTCAATATCCAACACAAATGTAATTATGGATGTGAATGTTGACTTGCATCTTCTACAACTTAAAAATTAATGTTCATATCAGTGAACATGTCCATTTGGAGTTTATGACATGCGATTACTTGATTCCTGTTTCCCATCCCATGTCCATTCACAACTTCCCATGCCTAAACATAGATCTTTTTGCAATGCAATGCATAATGCTGCAGATGGGAACGCACTTGCATTTGATGGGGACGAAGCTAAAAGAGGAAAGTAAGTTATTATTGTTGTCAGAGAAATCACACCATAAAAGAAGAATAATACAGAGTGGCAAACAAAAGATACCTCATAAATACCACAGACATGAAAGAGAAGCAAAAAATATAGCACATTTCCTATAGATCTTTAAAGAAATAGATATAATCCGAAAATAATGTTTTACTTCTTTGAAATACTAGACGATTAAAAACAACCACATACCTAATGCATTTCTTCAAGGCTTTGATTTTTCCTTCCAAAAACATAATAAATTCATCGAGCAAACTGTTCTTAAAGACAATTCTGTATTCACCAAAAGACAAAGCTTAACCCAAATGAGTGTCGTTAGGGCTATGTATAAGCTTAAGATCTGTTAGTCTTGGAGCTAGAACAAAACATAAGCACATACTTGGAAGAGCCAGGGATTTCTGAGGCCTCTTAAAGTGAATCAAACCGTTGACATTTGTGCTTGTTATGGCGAAATACCTGCATCACTATTATTATGGATACACTGTTAGGTTGACTTGGGTCAACTCTTCATATATCCTTACTGATTCTGTTATAATTCTGTTATTAGATTGTTATGACAGCTGTCAGTTAGTTATAACAGTTAGAACCTCAACTCAAGAGTTAGTTATGATCCTAACTCTATAATACTCTGTTGTAAACTATCCTATTCAGATTTGTTAGTAACAAAATTCAGTTTCGATTCCCTCTCTCAATCCTCTCTCTGTTTTCACTCCTCATGAATCTGGAACTCTAGCAACTAATAAGACTTACTATTGAACTTGAAAGTAAAGAAATGTCTAGAATGTCTGAGGTAAGTTCTCCGGTAAGAATCAATAGAAATAATGAATCATATCTAGTTTTTGCTTATATTTTCTGTTTCCAGCCAAACTCCAAATTCCTGCATTTAATCTACAGGGTCGACTTGCTTTTTTTTCCACTTGAAAGTGATTATGGAATATGGAATGTTTATTGTTCTCAAACCATTAGAATTATATGCACTTTTATTTAATAACGACTTGTTGATTTGCACCAAAGAAATGATGAACTTCGGATACAGGCGGGAAAGTATGTGTCATGATTTATGCATCTATAGCAATTCTTTATCAAGAAAGAATATGTTTCTGCTTTATGAATGAGTGAAAAAGTGAGTGAGCTGACTAGAACTCCCCCATCCATAAGGGGGAGGAAACACCAGAAAGCTGATAAAATTCTCAACGTCTCAGCTTAACGGAAAATAGAAATATCTAGGGAAAAAAATGACAATGCAGTCTGTTTCTAATCAAACCTGAACTGAGATCTATAGTCCATCTTATACATAACCAAAGACAAAAAAGAAGCAACCTTTAGAAAGATGAATGCAGTGAGGATTTGAATCAGTAGTTATCTTGCCTTTATTACTTGAAGCAAAGCTCAGAGACTTCATTATTGTTTGTAAATACACTAACAATTAACAATTTTTGAGCTATATATTTGTTGAAGCTCAACTGTTTGTTGTCAATTAACTTTAGTTTCTAGCTTGCAGTTAATGTTAACTTGTATGGCCTTCAATTTCATATGCATTTTCCTCTTGAATCCAATCTCATCAACAAGATGATATATTCCCACCAATTCACATGTAGCTTGGGCATAATATTATATCCTGATTTGGCACTTGAATGAGCAATAACAATTTTGCATCTTACTTCTCTAGCTTACCAGAGGGGATCTAGCCAGGCCAGCATTTGAGAAACCCACTACTATAGTATGTATATATGATAACTATATCTATACTAGTGTGACTTGGAGCCCTTTCAAATTTTCCAATATATGAAAGAACGAACTCCCAACGGTTAGTTCATGGAGATGATATAAATAGTAACCACATTGATAGAGAAGAGAATATTAGGTTGTGTGAGTTCAGTTTTGTGTCTTTTGTTGCGTTTCATGCTTTTTAATCCCATAGTATACTTGATTTTCTTCTCTCCTTAATTTCCTTTTTCCCTCCTATCATAAAATCCAGAGCATACTTGGATTTTTCTATCCTTTTTCATATGGAAATAGAAGGCTTGTTCCTAGAATCACACTTTTAGATACTTAATATGACTAATGACTGGTGAGTGTGAGAAGACCATACCGGGTTTTCAATCTAGGCCTGTATCTGTTATTAGCTACAATGACTCGATTTCATGTTAATTGACACTCCGGGTTTTCAATCTAGGCATGTATCTGTTATTAGCTATAATGACTCGATTTTATGTTAATTGACACTCAGAGTCAGAGCTTGTGTAACTGTGTCTGATTCCAAGTTATTCTGAAATCTTCAGATCAATATAAAAAAGAATCTTATTGAGATAGGCTCTGTTTGACAATTTATGCTATTGGATTGAAAGGAACTAGAGAATCATCAATTATAAGTAACTTTATATGGAATAAGATAGTTAATCTCACGTTAATGTTTGTTTCTTTATGTGAAATTCCACTTTTAGATATTGAAATAGATTAGGCAGTAACACATCAGTTGGAAGCCACAAGCAATATGTGATATGGGAGCAATATGTTAGGATAAGGCAGTTGGAAGTACAAATAAAACTTGTGTGAATAAATTTTCCGCTGTTTCGGCTCCAAGGGGAAGAGGGTCCTAGTAATCCTGAGTCTGGCCGGGATGTAAGTAAAGCCTGACCAAGGATTGATCCAGCTAGGATCTGAACTCGGGTTTATTGAACAATTTGTCTTTAACTGAAGCTCATTGCTCACTCAACCCTAATCACCTGGTTAATTTATGTGAATCTTTAATTCTGTATGTAAGGTCAATACTATATTAGTTTTTGTAAGAGCCTAAGATATTGTTTGATCTATGAAGCGGATTCCACTTTTTTGGGGTAACTTCAAGTTGTGCTTGTATTTTGATGAGCTTAGAGTGATGGGTAACTTCAAGTTGTGCTTGTATTTTGATGAGCTTAGAGTGATTGGCCAATGACCATTCAATTAGTAAATTTCTTATGTGAAATTCATTCTGTCTTTGTGTTGGATATCTAGTCAAGCTTTGGCTGTGCAATTATATAAATTGTTCCACTTCTATGGGTTTAGCATCTCATCCCACCATTAGAAGCAAGATTTTCTTTGTATTTGTATGCCATACCAAAAAAGTTTTAGTTAGTTAACTGTTGTTAGTTCTCTAAAGTGTTGGATGTTGGTTGATTGGTGTAATCACTTCTTCTTCATAATTGTCATATTGCGATCTAAGCGTGATTATGGAATTATTATTTCTTTAAAATTACTAAAATTTGTCGTAAATGTACAACAATTTCACATTAGTTTATATTGTTAATCACAGGACAAGCCTTCGACAGTAACACATGATGAAGATTATTCACGTGATGAACGCAGATCAGCGATAAGGGGATCTCCTTTCCCCCAACGAGAGTTTAGAGGACGTCATGGTAGCCCTGAACCACATTATTCTGACAAATCCAAAATGAGTGATAAAAATCCAGAGCCCAGTGAGGTTTTATGGATTGGGTTCCCAGCTCAGTTGAAGGTGGATGAATCAATTTTGGATAGGGCTTTTTCTCCATTTGGTGAGATTGTGAAGATTTCAACATTTCCCGGTCGTAGTTATGCGTTTGTTCGCTACAGAAATCAGAATTCAGCATGCAGAGCAATAGATGCTCTGAAGGGAAAGTTATTTGGGAATCCCCGTGTACATATTTGTTTTGCCAAGAGTGAATCAGGTTCATCAAGCAGTGGGAAGAGCTCATTTAATGGCCCTCGATCCCCATCTTACAAGTCAAGTGGCCTTGGTGGATCTTCTGAGAACTTTAGGCAGGATTGGAGCTTTCCCGGGGAGCAGAACATTAGTTCTCCAAATATGTTTGGGAATTGGGATTCTCGAGATTCTGATTTTAACAACAGGGGTTATGAGCCAAGGAAAATTGGAGAGAAGGGCGCTCCACTAGGAGTATCACAAGAATTCTATGAACATCAAAATAGTCCATCAAGAGAAAGACACTTTCATCAGGGTGATTTTCCACAGAATTATCCTAAGAGGGGTCCATTTTTTGAAGATCCGCATGGCTTGCCTGAAGACGCACCTTATCTTCATGTGGCTAAAAAGCTAAAGAGTGGCTCTTCTCCTCCTGAGAGAGAGCTTCCAGAGTATGCTTTCTCTGAGCTAGAAAGACAAAAACATGTTTTTCCTAGACCATTACCTGATTTTCCTCACCGTGAGCCTTTCGATAAAAGCTTTGACGCTGGAAACTTCACTTATGGACAAACATTTAATCACCCACCAAATTCACCTCTGGTTCGCATGGATAGACATGATGGCTGGAAACCTTATGACACTTTCCAAATGGGTCCTGGTGCTCGCCAATCAAATTTTATTGAGAAAAAAAGATTTACACCTGAACCTGATAATTCATCTTCATCTGAGTGGAAATGGGAAGGAACCATTGCTAAAGGTGGGACTCCTATTTGTCGTGCCCGCTGCTTTCCTGTAGGGAAAGTCCTTGATATCGCATTGTAAGTATACAATTTTCATTTTAAAATCCTTTTTTCTTGATGAGAACTTATATCAGTTTTGTAATAGTTTAAATTTTTCTTTTTCAAATATGGCGCTTTAACTCTTTTTCAAATTTTCCAGACAATTTTTTTGCCCATAGCATAACGGTTTTTTTAGTTGAAACAGTGTTTCATTGGTTTATAGGTGCTTTGTGGGCAATCTATAATTAGACTTCACCCTCCATGTAGTTTAATCTTTGTGAAAAATCCATTTTTTTTGTCTCACTGTTACTTCAACCTTAGTTTAAGTTGAAAATGTTAGGGTTTATTTTGGTTTGAAGACTTTTTTGTTTTAGTTTTCTGTTTCTACAAATATGGCACTTTCACTCTTTTTCAAGTTTTCAAAGATATATGTTTAAGTGGCAGAAATATAACATTTTATAATTTTCATCATTTCACATACAAAAACGTTGAAAATAGGAAATAAAGTCAACACAAGACAATAGTTTTGTAATTGTTATTGAAAATAGAAAGTGATTTCTCATAACTAAATACCCTCTCAGTTAACTTTGATGGCAGTATAACGTTTTCTCAGCATGCTCCCCTTCAGTTCAATTCTTATAGGGTTAATGTGTAAAAGAGAGTAACTTCAGGTAGTGAATTGAGAGATAGTTAACTCACAAGAGGATGATGTGTAAAATAAGTTAATCAACTGTAACTGGTATTAAAGTTAACCGAAAAGGTAAGGGTTTTAGTGATGCAAGAAGATTGACTATTAGTATTGAGTGAGCTATATGAAAAGGGGTGAAACTACACAGGTGTAAGTAACCCAATAACATGCAATTTGTAATTAACCCTATATTTATATTAAGTTCTGCAAGGTTAGCATTAAATTTTGTCCACAAATTTTAAGCTTAGGTTATTGAGTTACATCCTTATCACGTGGTCTTAGGTCATTGAGTTACCCTTATCACGTGGTCTTAGGTCATTTTAGGCAAGTCTTTTCTTCTCATGGATTGACGAATGATAACTTACCGAGTAGTGCTGTTGAATCAAACTGTGTGTTTTTGCATATTGAGTTCTGCAGGTTTAGCATAAACTATTGGCTCTGCATGTATTGTGTTAGAATCTGAAAGACATCTAGAACTGAGTGAAAATCCCAGAAAAAAATGTGAACTGGATTTGCATTAGCTGAAAAACTGATCGAACACACTTACACCTCAGTGTAACAATATACCAAGACTACTGTAATGCATTACTTTAGATTACGATAAAGATCACAACTAGGTTAAAACCCTTATATACATATCCTTCATTTGCAGTACACCACAAAATATTATAAAAATAAAAATAAAAAAATAAAAAAACGCTGAGCCATGAGGGGACATAAAACCAAAACCCATAAAAGAGTAACGAATAATTAGGAAGGCTCCACATAATACGGGCAAACTTGTCAGCAATAAATCAAGGAAGATCCTCCCACCAATGGACACCAAATGAGAAATACCATAAAAAACTAAGCAACAGGCACACGTATTACCTTCCCTGTAAATATGGGAAACCATAAGATTCATTTGGCGAGCGGAAAATGAACAATTAAGCCACTGATTTTTAAAATGTTAATGAGAGACGAGTTACACTCAAGCCAAAGAGAACCAACCTCTAAGATAAGCAACTTCAATGGCCACCATAGTTGTCATAAACTCAGCTTGAAGAGCAAAAGAAATTCCAATATGGTTATATGACCAGCAAAACAACTAATATAAGACGCCATTTCTGCTATGTCAGTACCACCCATGTTAGACTTGAACCCGGCTTCCAGTAGGAGGAATTCAACTGGTCTGCACAATCCTAGGGGCCTTAGGAGCATGCCTTAAAATACTGGAAGCCTTGAGAATAGTGAATTGTTAAATGCTAGAGGACATGGTACCCGAGTTAGTGTTACCCACAATAGGCACCGAACAGCAGTAGCAAGCATATTGATATTTGATGGGGCATAAAGGACCTGCCATTAAAGTGATTATTGTTCCTACAGAACCATAAACCAGATAGAATAAATAATTGCTACAAGAATGACTGGTTTCAATTGGGAGCTCGGAACTTGCTACGAATAAGCATACATCTTTTATTTATGATTATAGTATAGATATATACAGTATCTTGTTAATATTCAAACTAAAATATGATCAATTGATAAAAGAATTCATTAGATGATAGCAAAGAGCAGAACAAGGGGATACAAAATCCTCATGCAGTAACCAATGAAGAGAAAATGACTCATACATTGTCTAATGAATCTCTCCAATCCCCTAAGTCACAATAGAAAACACTCTTAAATAATTCCATTTTGTGACTGCCACAAAGAAGCCAGAAGACTCAATTGTCCCATAAAATGGTGATAAGGAAGAAATTCTGGTTGAAAACTCGGGCACTACTCTTCATTCATTAACATCACAATCATGCAACCACAAAAACAATGCCATAGAAGTTTACTGACTATATTTTCCTATCAACTGTTTTATGTTGGATTTTAATGTCAAACAATACATTTATTTCAGACCTGAATTCTTGGATTGCACTGCAAGAACTAGTCTAGACATGCTTTCAAAACATTACTACCAAGCAGTTGGTGTTTGGGTTGTTTTCTTTGTGCCGGGAAGTGATGCTGACATTGAATTCTACAATGAGTTTATGCATTATCTGGAGGAAAAGCAGCGCGCTGCTGTTTCTAAAGTGGATGATAAGACTACCTTATTTCTTGTACCTCCATCAGAGTTCTCAGAGAAAGTGTTAAAGGTACCTGGTAAATTGAGCATATCTGGTGTTATTCTTAGGTTGGAATATCCCGGTTTAAACCAAGGTCCTATGCACATTGAAAGAGAAATGAAAAACGAAAACCTCTCGTCCTATAATGAGAACATTTTGTATCCAAATTCATCTTTTTCATCCGCTCGCATACATACAAACCCACCATCTATTTCAGAATTGGGTAATTCTGGAACCAGAAGCAACCTTTCATTTCTTGGAAGCAAATTTCCAGCAGCTCCATTAGTATCGAATTCAGCCCATTCTGAAGCTGGCATGTCTGAGGCCTATGATGGAAGAAATCATGACTATCCATCCATCCAGCCACGAACATCGGGACCAAACTGGGCTCCTCACAATCCGCATAACTTCAACTCTAACAGAGCTTTACCTTCACATCTATTCAGCGGTGCTGTTGAACCTATTGCCGAGGAGCGTCACCTCCTCAGCAACATAAATTCAACTCAACACTCCAGCGGAAATTCTGGCATTCCATTTGGCGGTAACATGTCATCGCATCAGGAAATGAGAAATTTCGATCCTTCAACCCCTGTGGGATCCCTTCAACCAGAACAGCTTGCACAGCTAGCTGCAACTCTTCTTGAGCAGCAGAGGCATTTGGGAAGCTCCATGAGCACATCTGCAATGAGTGATCCCAGGCAGAACAGATTTAATGAGTCAGAAGCCTCATCCAGACCATCATATGCAGCAGAAAACAACCTTGCGAATTCTGAGCTCTCAACATCTCAGTTTGGTCATCACGGTCTACAGTTGCAAAAGCAACAACAACAACAGCAAATGATGCCAAATGTGCCACAGTTTTCACAGACGGTTCAAAGAGAATTACCAAGAGAAGTTAATGGAAATCAGCAGTTGGCAGATCATGGTTTGCAGGAAGACGGAGATGCAGATCCACAGAGGCGTTTACAAGCAACACTAAAGCTGGCTGCTACTCTACTCCAGCAAATCCATCAAGAAAAAGGGAATTAAGAAATGCCGGTTTATCAGCCATAGCTTTCCTGGTTTGGTTTATTGACTTGAAGCACTAAAACAAGGATAGATGGTTGTCATTAAGATGTTTAGGTTTATTAATGCAGTGGTTTATAAGCAATGGGATTTCTTGTAGAAATGCTGTAGTTATTTGGTTTTTCACAAACAGTTATTGTTAGTGTGTCATTTCATTTGTTTGGGAAAGTTCGTAAAAGTGAAGTAAGATATTGAAGGAAGGAAAACTAGTTAATGGTAACTAATTAATCATGTTATACAAACTCATTATCACATCATAACTGGATGCACCTGTGTCTTTTCAGAAATTCCCTTTAGACGTAATATTTTGGTTTGGTTTGAATGGAACTTTCAATAGGTTTTCTTATGGTTAATATTTTTTGTACTCATTAACAAATGACATAATTACATTTGTCAAAGTTCCTTAGACGCAGCACTGTTATATTATTTTATAGGTTTCAACATGTGATATCATATACACTCCAGGCACACTACTAGCCAAAATTAGTTTATGCAATTCTTCAAACAGTTGAAAAGAAAAAACACAATCATAACTCAATAGTGAACAAACAAATGGAATCATCAAGGATGGCAACACTTAGTTTACCATAGTTTTGTGTAGTTTGATCTGTGAACAAATTATGTTTTACTTTGACAATCAACAGAGTTGCTACAACTACATCTCTTAATATGGAGGATTTTAACTTGACATCCCCCACTTAAACCTGGTACCTCCAAATTTTCGTTATTCTTGAAATATCTTTGCTGATTTCAGAAGAATTTTCTATAGAACAAGTGAAATTTACGATACAGAGGAAATTTTTGGTAGGTCAGTACTAAAATTCCAGTACTTAACAATTTCTGACATTTCATATGAAATTTATAGTATCAGAAATTTCAAATATATTGAAATTTTCGGTAGTTTCATAATTCAAAATTTTTAACGATCAAGATTTTGCCAACAACTTTGAAGAGTTCTGATTGCACCGACATATTTGTGTGGTCGAGAATGCATCGTCATTTGTATAAATAGGGGCATATGTTAGAGACAAACATTTAAAAAATGCCTCTTCCATAATTTTTGATTAAGACAAAAGTGTATTTCAACGGAAATAATCCTTCTGTTGAGTTCAAGCTTCCAGATGACGCCACATCCCTCGCCAACTTGATAGAAAATGTCTTCTTAAATTTGTAAAGCAATGTTTTCTTGATAGAGGCATGAATTTTGCCTCCTTCAGCATCTATTAAAACCATTCTAATAGAGAATGAAATAGTATTTTGATTGAAATTAGAGACTTCCCATAACCTAATAATTTTAGCCTTAATGTTCCAAAACTTTTTTTCATAGTTAATATCAACTATACTTGAAAAACCATTCAAAACAATTGTCATATTTTACTATTAATTACTTCAAATTTATAGGAAAAACAATTAAAACATTCAAAATCTAAAAATGATAAAATAACTAGGAGGAGGAAAAGATAGCAAGTAATGAGTGCACTACTAAGATAGATTTACCTAAACTAAAGTAGACCCTTATATAGTCAACAAATTAGGGCTTCTAAAATTAAAATATTGAAGAAAATCGTCAAATTATGGGGGAAAATTTGAAGTGTTCGAGTAATAAATAACTTACCTGAATAATAATCCATTCGGCATGCTTCAATTCACCAACAATCTCATTTTGAACAATAAAGAGTTTGATTAAAGTTGATCTCAATTGAAGCAAATTCATTCAAATGGTTAATATTGGGCGGAGGAACGATATTGATTGAGACAAATTAAAGAGGTGAAACATTATGAAATTCTGATATTCAGATCTCAAATATCCTAAGAGACGTCGAGACACTGATCTCTGAACAACAATGCAATGAATAATAAACAGTGCAGAAAATAAAGGAACATACAGAGTTGTTAACTTAGTTCGGTGTACAACAACACCTACTCTAGGTGCTATTAAGTCAGGGACGAAATCAACTAAGTAGTATCAATTTGTATACCCACACCAAACTCTCACTAGTTTACAATCTACTCACTTAATCACTACCCGTGCTTAACTTCTATCTAAAACTCACCTAGGTATGAGACCCTTCTCAAATCCTTTTCAGTCACAAACAGTGACAAGTGTTGGAAATTCACCAAATATCTATGATGAATTTCTACACAACGACAATGAATTATGAGAAAGAAAAGAAAAGAAGACAATTATTTTCTGCAGAGTTTCTCTCTGCCCACAAACTGTGGAAAACTTTGTTATTCACTTGCAACTGTAAATTCAGTGAATACAACTTAATTGACTTGCTTACAAAAAATAGGGGTTACTCCCTCTATTTATAACTGAGTTTACACTCTAAGCTCAAAGCCCCAAATATCTATTTTGTTACTAAATCAAATCTAATCTATTCTAGACTTAAATCAAATCAATTTAATCTAAAACAAATCAAATATTTTCGACACATAATTTTGACACACTGAATTGCAATTTAACACACCACCTAATTCATTGTGTCAAAACTATCTATATTCATCATGGCTCTTAGTCTTCTGAATACTTTGACTCGCACTCCCTTCGTCATGATATCTGCAATCTGATTCCCAGTTCTACAGTGTTCCAAATTCATCTTCCCATCTGCTACCTGCTCTCGAAGGTAATGGAACCTCATTTCGATGTGCTTACTTCGACCATGTGCTATTGGGTTCTTCGCCAGATTGATAGCTGACATGTTATCGATCTTCATGGTAATTGTTCCATGATCTTTTCCTGTTATCTCTTCGACCAAGTTCACCATCCAAGTTGCTTGACATGCACAAAGAAAAGCAGCTATATATTCTGCTTCGCATGATGATAATGCCACTACTGGTTCTTTTCTTGAATTCCAAGCAATTGGTACACCACCTAGCATAAACACATATCATGCTGTTGACTTTCGATCTTCAGCATCACTACACCAACTCGAATCAGTGTATTCCACTAATTTGCATTCTTTTCCTTTATCAGTTGCACGAAACAAAATGCCATAATCGAATGTTCCTTTAAGATACCTTAGTATCCTCTTCACTGCTGCTAGATGTGATACCTTTGGCTTCTGTATGAATCTACTCACCATACCTACACTGTATGCTAAGCCAAGCCTTGTATGACAAAGGTATCTCAATGATCCAATAAGTCTTCTGTATTGGGTTGGATCAACATCATCTTCATCTGCATATTTCGACAGTTGCAGTCTTGGTTCTGCATGTGTCGAAGTTGGGTTGCATTCTTCCATCTCAAATCTCTTGAGAATTTCTTCTGCATATCTTCTTTGATGCATCATCAAACCTCTATTGCTCTTGTAGAATTTGATGTTAAGGAAATATGAAATCTCACCCAAATCAGACATTTCGAATTCCTTGCTGAGATCACATTTGAAGTCTTCAATTTCACTTTTACAGCTACCTGTTATCAATAAATCATCTACATAGAGACATAGTATAATCAATTCACTATTGCTTCTTCTTACATATACTCCATGTTCAGTTGTGCACTTTACAGATTCCTTCTCCCTTAGGAAACTATCAATTTTCTTATTCCAAGCTCTTGGAGCTTGTTTCAATCCATACAAGGCTTTATGCAGCCTGTACACCTTTCTTTCTTCGTCATGATTCACAAATCCAACTGGTTATTTAACATAGACTTCTTCATCTAAGGGTCTATTTAGGAATGAATACTTCACGTCCATCTGACATATGTGCCAACTATTTATTTCTGCTAGACCAACAACTAACCTGATTGTTTCGATCCTAGCAACAGGTGAAAAAACTTCATCGAAGTCTATTCCTTCTTTCTGTAGAAATCCTTTCGGCACAAGCCTTGCTTTGTGTCGAGTTACTTCACCTTTCGAATTTGTTTTCACTTTGTATACCCACTTGACATCAATTTCCTTCTTGCCTTGAGGCAATTCGACAAGTGGCCAAGTGTTGTTGTCTTCGATAGACTTCACTTCTTCGTTCATTGCTTTCACCCACTTCGAATCCTTCAATGCTTCAGTTGCATTAACGGGTTCGACATCTGCATAGAAAGCATAATGTACCAGCTCACCTTCATCATCTATTACATCATCTGATGTAATCACACAATCTTGTAATCTTGCAGGCATGCGTCTTGTTCTTTGAGACCTGCTTGTACTCAGTGTATCTGTTGGTTCCTCTTGTCGAATTTCTCTTTCGACTTGAGTTTCTGGCTCTTCAAGAAGGATGCCCACTGAATCTTTATTGACATTACCAGTCCAATCCTATTCTTTAAACTCATCTATGATCACGTCCCTGCTGATCACAATCTTCTTTTTCACTGGATCGAACAACTTGTAGCCTCCTGTCGAATGATATCCAACTAGAATTATTTGACTTGTCATCAAGTTTTCTTCTCAACTGATCTGACACATGTCTATGTACAATAGATCCAAATACTTTCAAATGACTCAAACTAGGCTTCACACTAGACCAACATTCTGAAGGGGTGAAAAACACAAGAAGGGGGGGTTGAATTGTAAAACTGAAATCTAAAGCAATTGACAAGATATTTTTATCCTGGTTCGTTTGATCTCAAACTACTCCAGTCCACCCGTCAAGGTGATTTCGCCTCTCTCCAACGAGGTCTTAATTCACTATATTCAACTGAATATTACAGACTGCTTTAACAACTGCTAAAGCCTTCTTGATTCAAACCACAACCCGGTTTGTCAAGGCAACACTTTCTTACAAAGAGATAAACTGTGTGTGTGGATGTTTTCTACAAAACTTTATCACAACTGTGATGTATACACAAATGAAGCTTAGAAACTAGATTGCTAAACAGTAATGGAGTATCAGAGTTTGTGGTTTAGCAAAACTATTAGAATGAAGATTATGGTTCAGCTTTGTGCGTGTAGAGATTTGGAGAGCATTAGCCATAATAATCTTCGAAGCCTTGTTTATATAGCACTTGAGAAGATGAACGTTGAATGCAA